TAGAGGTCCCTTCCAACCTTAAATATTCTGTGAATCTGTGAACTTCTGTTTTGCATCTCTGTGCAAATATCCCTTGGAGTAGTGACTTGATTAATAYGGTAGTAAGCAATATTTACTTAAGAACAAAAAACTAATAAAGTAGATTCAGTAGCACTACAATATAATGAAGACTCTAGCTGTGAGTGTAATTAGTCTAACTGGTATGCTAAAAGGTTTTCATGTTCCTACATTACCAGGAAAAATCAYAGAAGTTCCCAAAGAAAGAGACAATCAAAATTCTGCAATGGTTTTCATACTTACCTGGAATGATAAACAAATACTTACTTACTTTTATGACTTTGGATAACCATACAGCTAATTAGTAACACAGCAAACCAAAATGACTGTATTGCAAAGCAATTAGTTAATTCTTTATACCTTAAACTACTGTAGAAATATTTCCAGAACACCAAAACACAGGTAAAAATAAGGGTTTGAAAGTTGAATCAAAATATAATCTACTTAATTRCGAGGACAAAAAAATGGCTCAATTGCAAAGTTTTTGCCATCCTTTAGATTCAATGCTCACACAGTATTTAATGGCCTTTTACACAGGATGAAACATGCATTCAAGTCCTGCTGTGCTAAATGAACTGGTCAATAAAATTCATTCCCAAGGGCCAAAAAAAAGTATYCAAAAGGCAAATTCCACTCTTGTTTTTCAACAAAAACTTCTTTATTACACCAGAGAACCATTTTGCATGAATTTCCCATCACTGTTCTTCCTTCAATGAGTCCATKTAATCAAAACACTTAGACACTTCCACGTGGTGCATAAAACAACCTATAACACTATACGTGCCCCAGTTTGCAGGTATGCTTTGTGCAGGCTACAAAGTTAAACAAAAAATATCCCATTAAAAATAAAAACACACGCTTGTTGGCCCTGAATTATGCAAGCTATTTTTGCACCTGCTCTGCATCTGTCTTACAACTTTGAACCACATGAAAACCTGAAAGCTTGGAAACATGCATTTCTAGGTGATTTTAAGACACCAAGATGGTTGCACTAAAGTTTTAAAGGCGCAGAAGAAGCTTCTCTGGATAGGAAACAACATGAAACAAAATAAGAAGAGAAAAGTAAAAACCCACTATGCTAAGAGAAAATRTGTGTTAATGTAAGACACCAAAGCCCCATGTAAGCAAGCAGACAATTTTAATATACCTCAGCATGTACTTCTCCAGTTACCTCAAGGGAATYGTTCATTTCCCCCTCCCTGGGGAAATATATATACCAGTTGTCTGGTATATTTGGCAATTAATACAATTCTCATGTTTGAGAATTTCAGCAAGGAGGTATTTTGAGCTTTCCTTATTTACCGAAATAAGAAATGCATCACAAATCCAATGACACCAGTATTTAATTCTTGCTCTTTGAGAGTTTTAAGTATCATGCTGACTGAGACCTGCCAGTTATGATCGTAAAAGGAATCCTGCATATGTTAATAACACCATAAGCAGAATATATTCCGTATCCCATCAAACCAAAATGATAAAAAAGCAAAACTTTCCAGTTTTTCCACCAATAGTTCACTTGGTGATTTTGCCTGCTTGCTGTGTGAAGCTTTCTGATTTTCAGTTCATCAGAATGCTCAAGTTAGTCAATTCAACTATTACTTTAAGTGCTCACGGAGCCATTTGTTAGGAATAAACTTTATAGTCACATTCATTTATATTCATAAAAACTTTTTTTTCTTGGAAGGATGGTTTCAAAACTGGAAAATTTTTGTTAAGGGACCTTTAGGCACATGGTAATAGAAGATGCCACACAAATTCATGCAAGGAAGCATGAATATTATTTTTTTTTTTACTGCTTACCACTTGATGATCAGGGATGAGTAAAGTGGTCTCAGTGCTGTTTAGGCCCTGCCAGTGGTATCGCAGGAAAAACATAACGTTGTTAGTGATAACTCAAAAATGCTTTTAAAAAAATAAAAAAACAGGAAAAGAGACTATTTCAATGCAGCTTCTGGTTGAAGACAGTGAAAAGCTCTCAGTTACAGTCGGGTTTTCAGCCCAGATATCARTGGCTTGAACAACTCCACTTCCTCAGACCTACTGGCTCTCCCAGCTACCATCACTGACTTCTACCTGTCCCAGATTGATTTTTAAGGATCAAAACTAGCTTTTRAATATTACTGTTTAGCTTCTCTTCAGCATTTCCATCACATAGGTTATAGCCTTCAAACAACTTGGCACAGACAAGTTGACAACATGATAAAAAACAGCTGAAAAAAAATAATTTTCTTGTTTTAATTTCCAAGGAGAAAGCAGACAGAGCAAAGAGTGTTGAAGTTGCTTCTAGTACATATGTGACAATTGATTTTGCTGTCTTTTCAAAGCAAAGAAATTAAACCACACACACTGTGAATGGGAACAAATATGATGAACAGTAACACCACACAGACTTCATTTCGTGCTTGTACCATTATTTAGTGGTTTGGGGACAGAGTAGTTCAAAAAGGTCGTTTCCCAAAACCTACTGGGCACAAAACCTTGTGTGTTAACCTCAAAATTAGCAATGATAAATTTTCATTCTTAATCCATCCAGCTCATCTCCTCATCCATTGACATTTTACTTTAGAGAAACCACAACAATTTGAATAATTTGAAAACGCAAACAAGCTGCTTTTGTTCCTGTTTATGCTGTGAGGGAAGATACAAATGTGTCTGTACTTTTCCAATGAGAACAAGTGTTTGCTTATCTCAACAGCCTTYTCATAATTTCATCAGGCAAACCCAGGAGGCTCCATCTGGCTTTTTCCAGGATATCCACAGGGAGAAGCGAGGCCTTGCAAATGCAAGTAACCACAGAGTGCTCTTGTCCTAAGGTCATCTGAACTCACTAACCCTCTCCTCACTGAGGCTAATGGAAGAACTTATGCTATTCAGGGAAAAATAGAGGCTGAAATGCTTAAGTGGAAAGTCTTCTACAATTATCTTCTCAAAATATCCACCCTGTAAAGTACCATACAAGTCCGAACAACCCAAGTGTAGTCTGGCTTTTCCTCRTTCCCCAGAGGATTTGGGGCCCCTTCATTTCACAGGGGCCCTCCCTGGACAAGCTGACACCGTCCAGCTCCTTTCTCCACCTCCACTCATCCCCTCCAGTCTCCTCCTCACACTCTCTCCACTCACAGCTTTCCATTTCTACAGTCATTACATGCAAATACAGGCTCTAGCCACCTATCAGCTGCCCACATTGCTTCAGTCAGAGAGAGTGTTTCAGGAAACTTAACAAAAGTCTGCAGTGAAGGATGAAGAAACACAGCAGGCAGAGCCTACCTACAAAAACCTTCTGTCCATTCCTCTGCTTTCAGCAAAGTGCTTTCCYGGGAATTTGGAGAACTTAGCTTGCTCTGCAATTATTTAACTGAAGCCACAAGGTTCCTAGTATTATAGAGCTACTAATACCCAACACATATTTTCTGGAATATTTAAAAAGGAAAAAGATTTTGCAATGATGTCATTTCCTGTTATGCCAGAGCGCGTGAAGCACAGCAGGATTCGATCCTAATAAAACATAGCCCCAAAGCAAGAACTAAACAGTCCTTTCAGAAACTCAGCCTACTTTGGTTGAGATAAAAAAACCAAAGAATATAAGTTTGGCACTGGCGACAGCCAAGCTCAGCTGCACCTTCACATATGGCATCCTACCTCACACATCTTGAGGCCACTCTCCAAAGCACACCCCAGGCTACACTACCCTTAAAGCCTCACAGGTTTCTTTCTAGACACAGAAACCTATTTGGTCTGCTTTTACAACACTGCGTTTTGTGTTCCTTTCTACATGAAAACACTGCTCTAAACAGAAATGTGAACAAGGAAGAAGCTAATGAGCACTGTGCTAGTGGTAACCCGATTTGAACAACAGCTGCTGGTTCTCAGATCTTCTCGCCGTTGCTATGCCATGATAGAGGACAATCCCCATCAACAGAAATCCTGATTTAACAGAAATTCAGTGAGCATTTCTGTGGAGGGAAATTACTCTGAAAGGTCTAAGTTTAATATTTTCGCTGCAAAACAAATTTAGTTTCTCATAGCTAGAGCAGGGCACAATCCCGCAGCTTTACTCTGAACAGTGCATTTATGAGGCTGATTAATTTGGTGTATTTGAGGTATATGCAGCAAAGACACGCAGCAAATACCATAAGTGACTTTCAACTTCACAACTGTAAGAGGAGACACAAATATTCCTAAGTATCTGCGTCTTACAGATSTTGAGAAGTTTCAAATTAGTTAGTGACTCAGTCTCCTACAATGTCTAATTAGTCTTAAAATTACCCCACTTGAAAGGCCTAACATTCTCTTGTCAGGAAATTACATATAAATTTTCCTTTTTAACCTTTAACATTTCATAGACCATCTGTCCTCAGGASAAATGGAACTCTATTTTGTCTGCCCCTCTGTCTCATTTACTTGCAAATGTGATCAACTAATTAGATCACTAAAAAGAAAAGCAACATCCTATCAAAATATATCTATAGCATTATATATTTTCTAGCTCTGTCTCCGCATAAGTACAATGGAAAATTAGATTCTCAGATTTTTTTTCATTCATTTTTAAAAGTGATTGATGACTATCCAAGGGGCATTTATATGTCCCTTGAAAACAAGACTAGGAAATGTGACTGGAATCAATTAGTCTGTTCCTATCAGGAATGCTTCTCCRAGTCACTGCTTTAGCAGTCACAGCTTGCAGTATGGTCCCCTTGGCAGCTTCTGTTTAGAAGTACCCCTGTTGCAACTCCTTTCTTTCCTCCTTTGGTTGCTGAAAAGCTCCCCACGCCTCCCTACACTGAGGGCATTCTGAGATGCCTCATGAGTTCAAGCTCCTAATAGGAAGGTCTGCTGAAGTCCAAGTAAYCCAGTTTCTCATCCCCCTGGGAAAMTGATGGAAGRAAAATACAGAGACTCAACAGGAAGCCGATGAAAAAACAACAATGTGAAAAAAAATAGGGAACAAGATGAAGACGCAAATGCATAAACCACAATGAAGGACCAAATACATCACTGATGGAAACTACCATTGGGTTTCCTTTTTTTTTTTTTCTTAGAAATGGAGTTATTTAGATTTTTTAAATCTATTTCTGGCACACCTGAAGTTAGTTCTCATTTGACTAAATTCCTTGTTCTTAAGTACTGTACAAATTAAACAAAATCACACTTAAAAGGTTCAGCAGAACAACCAGTTCAATAGATACCATTTCGGAGGAGTGCTCACAGTCAGTGCAAGACTGCACGTCAATGGAGCAACTCTCTATCTCTTAAACACAATAAAAAATACATAGGAAACAAATAGTGATTTAAACASTGGTTTCAAGATCATGTAACTTAATGTTAAACATCGAGTAGTAATTCTTATGACCAAACCTTCATTTAGCTTCTCATTTTTGCTAYACTCTTAGAAAGCTCCTAGAACACAGGGTTGCATCAGTGCCCCAATTTCTCCAAAAGGACAGCAATGCAGTAAACAATGCAAAAAGGAGCACTGGGTTTGATGTTGCTCCAGTTGCCAAAACATTGCAATATAATCCTTACCCCAAATTGCTACAAAACTTATGCCCATGGTCCTTTCCACTATTGTTAGCAATGACACTTTGTGAAGTCTTCCATAATATTCTGGGTAGCAGTGTTACTTTCACAGCTTAGCTCCTTCAAAGCTGTTGTGAAAGCATTTAAGTACCAGAGGACCTTAAAAAAAAAAGTGTTTTTCAGAACTAATACCAACTTGCAAGGCATTATTCCTTTTTCTTTCTACCATTAGTTTTCACAGATTTGCAGTTTTAGCAGTGTGCGTACTGTACCTTACCTCAGAGCTGCTTGGGATTTCTGACCCTGTTGTTGAAACCGTTTCACATAGAGGTCCATTGCATTCTTCTCCTAAAGAAACAGGAAGAGTCACATGCATCTATTCCTCCTTTTAAAATATTCTTGTGTTAAAATATAAGTTGAAGTCCAAGGCACCATACAAACCACTCAAAGCAACAGCTCAAAGTTCAACCCTCTCTGGGGTTGTTTGCTAGAAACTGAAGTCACCTTTTTGGTGGCCAAGGGTTCTGTGGRATATAGCCCTGAGATGTCATGCTGGGGTACTGCACATTACACATATGGGCCCACATAATGGAGTCAAAATGAGCATCAGGATGAGTAACCTCAGCTTCAATTACTAGACTTCCTGTTGTTCATAATCCTGGATTTTGACAGCAGCGCTATTTCTGGAATGACGTTCCCATAAAGGGTTAGTCTGCCAATTGTTGAAGTGTTAGTATTACAGAATAAACAGCAGTGAAAAGCAGTTCCTGTAATTGATGTGTCCAACTGATGAAAGCTGATATAATACAGCATTCCGTGATGTAATACAGCATTCAGAAACAGCTTCATTATAACATGCCTAAAGCTGCTGCGTGCTGTTCTGTTCAACCAAAATATGCCTGCAGAAGTCTTACATCTCACTATTTGAGCATGAACTTGATTTATGCACCCGTAGAAAGGTGTTAACACATGCCAAAACAAGTGTCAAGAACTGTATTAAGTCATCTCTAGAATTTGTGTACAAATAAGCGTTCCAGGCTCATTCTTCCTACCAAACACTACCATAACAGCTTTAGGGACTACACTTGTTCTAAATGACCGTGTCAAACATTACAAAGGCTTAAAGAAAAAGCTGCAGCACAGAACAAAAGTAACTCACCCCTCAACACAAACCCTCAACATCCAAGATAAGCAAGCGGCCCATAACAGGAGAGCATCACTACAATAGCATGGTAGCCTGCTTGAAAGCAACTGCCCAAGTAAGCCAATTACTTTAGAAACTGTGCAAGAGATTCCTATAAGAGGCTGCACCTTCAGGCAAGGTTTTCCTCTTGTTCACTTTACTGAGTTTTACTTTTTAAATGCTCTATTAATAAATTGTTACTTAGGCAACTAGTGAAAGGAAATCCTTTACTGCCATCCCTGATCTCAGGGAGTGAAATAACACAGGGCAAATACAGCACAAGACAACAAAAAACAGAGCATAAAACATACAGTAAGCATGAAGTACAACATACTCGGAACATTCACTCCCTGAAAAAGGACAGAAATACATTCCTAAACAGCAGGAGCATGAAAAATGTATGTCCACGTYATGTGAGAAGGAGCAAAGGAGCCACAATACATCTACAGGAGGAACCCGCTATGTTCTTAACCACAAGAGCAGCTCACAAATAAATAAGATATGACTGGAAATGGCACTGCAAAGTAGTCTTGGATGTGATAGCAAGGCCTCCAACTAAAGCCCAGTTCCCAGGGGCTCTCGGCTAACAGCAACTGGCAGAGGACACACACAGGAGGGTGGGAGCCAGTTAGTACAATACCTTCAGACCGCCACGGCTTGAACTTGGTGAGAGTCACAATGTCATCTTTAAAGGAAAAGACATTTCCGTAAAAAACAAGTCTTTTGAAGAAAAATCCACTTTGAACATCAACACATTAAATAAAGGTCCTCCCTCCTTTACCATAAAGCCRCCAAATTGAATGAAAAGGCAGGGATTATGACTGACAAAAGAACATGGAGCAAGTCCTCCTAAAATGACAATATTGACYTTTCTTCCAGGTACCCAAAGCATCCTACTCAGCAATATGAGCAAGGTTGTCACTTGTCCACATCAGCAGCACAAAGGGCTGTAAAAGCTTCCACTAGCCAAGRAAGTGCTTTTAAAAAAGCATTTCCATAAACAACATCATATGTAGGAGGAATGCAACAGTATTTTGAMAAAGCTTTTGTAATAAGGGAGCCTCCTTGCTCTTCAGCACCACAAACTCCACTGTATGCAAGAGGATGTAAAAAAAAATCCCTCTACAGAGCATGTCATCTGCGATTCTTCAGTGCATTATTCATTTGAACAGAAGTTACTGTTASTCCTCTGGATTTCTTGGTTCAATGTTAAGCACAGAACACCAATTCTCAAAATCCATTTAAGTAGCTTCAAGTATGAGTCATTTTGTTTCAAGTTACTGTCCTTTCATGGGCATGCACAAGTCAGAAAAAACCCTCTATGCTAGCGTAGCCATTACCTCCAGCAGCACTTTGCACAAAGTTATTTACAGTTCCTTAAACACAGGAGCCTTGGGAATCTGCACACTCTTGTCAATACAAGCTCCACAGGGGCTATAATCTTGTAGTATTAAAAAAACCTTCCTTGCCCCAAACTACACCCTACTACAGGGCAACTTGCTTATAAAACCCACAAGCTTTACACATCTTCCCTCTTTCAGTTACAGAGCTGGAAGATGAAGAGTTATCCAAAACAGTTTAGAGAAGTCACATTCCAAATGGAAGACAGCTGAAGATAATTAGGAATACATGTGATATCCTCCATGTAAAAAGGTACCTTTATCATGATTTCTATAACAAGCACAAAAAAAAAAAAAAAAAAAGATTTCTTTGCATAACTGTGGGAGTGCTCTATTCCAGTGGGTTAATTCTGGCTACGTGAAGCACACCATGCAGAGCTCCYGCACAGATAAGCCAGGCAAAAATTCTTACTCCTTATATTGCAGAGCATCCTTAAAAGCTTTATAGCTTCCTTAGGCACAGTATCAAACCTGGCAGTTTCTGGAAATCTGCCCTTCCTCCACTAGCCCTCATTTTTTAGTGATTCCTCGCAGTTTTTTTTCCCCCCTAAGCAAAGTGGCAGCTAAAGAGACATTAAAGGATTAAACCTTTGATTTTGCTGCCAAAAAACAAGACAAGCATCTTCACTCTCACACCTGGGACCYCTGCTTAGCACAAGACAGTACTTTCACTAGCACCATTAAGATTTTTAGTTTTATTTCTAAAATATAGCTTCCATCCTTTTTTTTTTTTTTTTCAGACATAGCAATAATATCCCTTTCAAGYAACAACTAGCAAGAAAAAAAAGACACTTCTGGCCTTGGTCTGCATTCAGATACCTTTTGCATGAGTTTATATAGGTATATACACATACAAGCTACATTTTGCTGTTTCAGGTGAAACAGACCAAGTTCATATTCCAGCTGTTAGGAAGTAGTTGCTTCCTACTAGAAAACATTTCCTAACATTAGTCCTTACAAAGCAGCAACAAGTTACCATTGTGGAATTGCTGTTTATACTCACAAGCTGCAACTTACCGGCTGCCATCTCCCATCCACGCGTTCAAATCACCACCGAGTCACTAACACCACGTACTCCACAAATACTTCCCCTGAATAAAGCAGCTCACTCCAAGTCATCTTCAAAAAGCAGCATTTTAAATGCTTGCTTATCTAAAATATATGACTTTAAAATGATTARCTATATTTATATAGCCCTTGACTATAACCTCCTAGTTTATGCAGCTCCCCCAACACACRGGGAACTGCTGCACCCTTGTTTCCTGGGATTGTTTCTTAGGACTGCAAGGGAAATGTTGCCCAATGACTAAATCCCTGCCCTGCATGACTAGGCTGCCTGGGGAATTTTGGAACCACCCGTTTTATAATTTTTATAATTACTATAATTACACTGACAGGTAGACTTATCAGACAGTTACTATTTCTCCTGGCATCATTGGCAGTGGAGGGTCTGTGCTCCTAAACCTAAGATGCAACCTCAAGATGGTTCTGGAGGTGGTACTTGATGCACATTCAGAGCTGCTCCTAAAAATTTCAACCTATTCCTTAATAAAAAAAATCAGCAGGTTAATATATTAAAAAGGAACCTTTTATACTTAATGGCTCACTTGAAGAAACAATCCTGCTGAAGTCAACATATCTAGCTATTAAAGGTTACAACTATCTTGGTTGTTCACTTTCTAAAACTATCCCTTACATGTACACACAGAGAGACAAAGTTAACAAAAAAGTAACTTTTCAGTCACGTGAGAAACCTTGTTCTCTGATTTGATTTTCATTTTGACTTTTATTTACRTGAAGAAAATTAATATGTTATACTCCAAACAAGTAGCAATACATAGAACTTGCTGTAGAAAGCTGCATCATCTCATGCTTCTCATTTGCAGAAGAGAAAGCCCATACAGAAACCTGTTTTAGCTAGAACCTTCTGAGCAGGTATGGACAAGTTGTCATACGCTTGCCAAACACTGTTTATGCAAGAATAGCTTTACTACTGCATGAACCCTGCACAACTCAACCTCCAGAAGTCAGAATCAAATTAAAATCATTAAAAAGATTTTTAAAAATCAACCCAAATTAATGGGTTTTATTATTAAATCAGTGACTCCAGAAAACAGCAGTTTATCAATATATAGGAAGTGACAGAAGAACAACACAGTATTTTGCAGACAAATACATGGGAGAAATCCTTTGCCTAGCAGTAAAGGTCTCCCATATTATTTATGAGGTAGGTAGAATACTCCTACATGCTAAAACATCATCTAGAGCACTAAATCAGAAAGGAGAAATCAATGAATGCCGTCACCTTATAGACTACTAACCAAGTCTTACAYATCAACTTTTTTTCTCCCCTCTCAGGTTTACTCTCTACTCGAGTAAAGGCATAGTTTAAACTTAGAATTTGACATTTCTTTCTAGCTACCTTTTCCTTTTAAACTTTCTATTTTGATTAGAGGATGTTGCGTTAAAAAAAAAACAGAAAAAAAAGAAGTAAATCTGTTTTCAAAAGGAGAAAAAAACACTTTTGTAACATCTAACTCGAATAACATTTCAATGTGATTTAGGCAATAACCGTGACCCTATTGCAAGTCTGTACTGGGACAGCACATACTCCAGCTCACTGTGAGCACTCAGGTCAGCTTTTATACCTTTCACTACTATCTTTGTGCAGATTGACAAAAGTTGACATGTACAAATGAATTAAAAAAAACCAAATAGTTTTATAATAGAGTAGTTGAACCAAGTTAGGTAATCTTGAACTGGATAATGTTTAGGTCTTTGTAAGAGGAATAGGATGGCAAATAAATCTCTGAAAAGGAGAATAAATAGCAGAGTTGAGAAATAATCATGCCAATTTATGAAATTGCACRGCTGTGCTGGTTTTCACTTAGCCTACCATCAGCACTATAGGACCACAAAAGCAGCCAGAACAGCTCGAGCAATCTGCTTTCCCTGCACATTAAGATGCCAAGTGTACTCAAATCTCATGCCTGAAAAGTGASAGAAAGGGGAACTACAATATTTCACAACTCAAGGGAATTACAAATACTTCAAAAGTATAATAGACACTTCCTATAGTTCACTGAAGCCCATTAAAACATTCTTTCTTAGTGCATTTCTCCAGTTTTCTCCAAAAACACTGATGCAAGACTGAAATAAGTCCTCCATTTTTCCTCCTTCACCATTTGTATTTGCATTCTATTAGTTGAGGGGAATACTAGGGGACCCAACCTACTATTCATTCAAGACAAATACATAGTGATCTGTCAACACAGAAGTTCTCTAGAGGCTGYAAGAGCAGCACATGAACAGCAAATTAAGAAAATGAGAAAACAGAAAAGGAGGAAGCAGCAGGGTTGAAGTGTCTGCTGAGAACCTATGTGGCTTGGCGTCTTAAGACAGGGACAAGCACAATTATATCGAGAACCACACTTGGTGTTTACTGTCCACTCATAGYGGYCMTGAATTTCATCTTACTGGGACATGCAATTTCAGATGGCCRATTTCACCCACAAATCCTTCTTTTCTGATGCTCATGTTCTAGTTACGTTGGATTTGCCTTCAGTGAGATGTGGGAGCAGTGGCTGCACTGCAGAGTCACCGAGACACCTGCTACTCTGTTCCATAGAATGAAGAATCTCACACTGAACAGTATAAAACAATATTGAGAGAAGACTTAAAATGAATCCCAGCAAAACAAACACTCCTGAAGTACAAGCTTGCAAGAGCAACACTCTCTATCCAAATTACATTAAGATGGAATAACTGTGGAAGTGAGAGACAGGCCCTAGAGGAGTGTTTCCTCACTTACAGCTTCTGATGGGAGCACCAGGTAGTTAACAAGCCTGAAATAAAGAAAAATAGCTAGCCAACAGCTTCAAAAATACATCTGCTATTCATTATGCATCAGCATGAAGTATTTCTAGCACACTACAATTGGGCAAATAGAGGCTTTCTGATTTTCTACCTGATAGTTAAGAAAACTCTTTTGAATACCAAACCACAGAGCCCTTGGTAATTTGGGGCCAGTGCAGAAAATTAAAGAGGAGCCTCTGGGAACCCGAGCCCTACCCACAGGGCCTGGCATGTGCCATTATCCTGCTAGAGGCCCAGGCCTGCCCTAACCCTTAGGAGCCTGATAAGCAGGAAGAGACCACCCAGGACTTCCAGTTTTAGGCTGCACTCAAATGAAAAATAGTCTAGCTTCTTAAAGAAGTGAGCTTGGAACATCTAAATTAATCAGTCCATGTGATCTCTGTTGGTGGTCACCAGTAACCAGAGAGGGTTGTGGCTGTACCAGAAGGCTTATGCAGAACAAGCCAGATGAAGTAGCAGGACACTTCTGTTACAGCCCAAGTGAACAAGTGATCCATGTATGCTCAAGTCCACTCCAAAAATCTTTGCTTGAAGGCTGGAACATAGACCTTGCTCTGAGACCTGGTGCAAGGAAGAAGTTTCTTTCAACTGATGAGCAAAAGCCAAGCCTGTAAAATCCTTTTTAAATAGCTTCACTAGACAGCATCTACCCAAGCTGTGAGAAACGGCTCTTCCCATCTTTCGAGGGATCCAGCTCCATTTCCCAGCTCTCTGAAGAGCGGCCTAAGCATTAGCCCAATAGCAATTACACATGCCAAGGCTCGTGTCCAACTCTACAAGTCCCTCTTTGGAGTCCCCTACTTTGCCATTCGCTGGGCTGACAAATCTTYTTTGCAGGCTCCCTGGCTAAGGGAAGCATTAGATGTCTCAGTCGCCAGCCTAAGGCCTTTTTTGTTTTTTATTGACAACATCTTTGGCTAGAAATCATTTAGGAACTGTAGAGGAGCAGGGCTGGAATTTCCAGTTTTTCATTAAAAGCACCACAGCATGCACATGGCAGAAGTATAAAGCAACATTATGCATGGTGTAGAAATTGGTTCCAGAAAACCAACTTTCCTACYACGAACTGCAGTTTCCTGTTGAAACAAGGTTTTACCTTTGGAAAAACCTGCACGCACTAAAACTGTGGCCGGACAGTGACACATACAGCTGGGAAAGGAATCCCCTTTAGGAGTTGTCTGTTGGAACTTMGGTATAACTCCTAAGGGAAGACTCTCACTTACCTTTTTTATTCTGAATAACTGAGTTCATTTCTTTGCCTAGGAATAGTCTTTCCAACTGTTTTCTGATTAACAAATCTTCCAGTTTAGTCCTGTGGGAACCTGATATTCCCTTCTGCATATCTCCATTTCTAGAAATGGATCAGAAATTGCTACCTACATTTCTTCAGTAATTAAAGACAGATGCGGTTTTGGAGAGCTCCATATTTAATTCATTAGTGGCATTAATCATAATGCTTCCAATTAAGTGCAGAGAGTAACACTACCAGGAGATAATGAATTTTGACCTAGAAAGTCGATGCATTACTAGAACACAATAAACAGACATAAATGCTGTTCAGAAGTCACTGCATCTACTTTTCTCAATGCTTTCCTCAAATAAAGAAAGGTGAGCAAGATGCCAAGCAACATAAAAAAGTACCTGAAATCATAGCAGTCAAGGGAAATCTCAGAAAAAAAAAAATATCCACAGCACAGTCCAGCCAGCTGCTACTGAAGGCAAACGTTGTATAAACTCTGCAGCTATGATGGCATCAGTGATTTGTGCTTACGAAGACCTAAGGAAACACTCGTAACCTCTGATCTCCATCCTGCAATATGGATTGCAAGGGTTCATTCTTCAAGTGCTTTTCTCAGGATTTTTACTATCTAGGTAGTTATCACAGCTTCCACAAAAGGCGCAGCCACACACAGGTCGAAGCTCTCAGCTCTGACTGCAACGATCCAACGGGAAGTCAGTGAGCTGCCTTCCCAACAAGACAACATGTAAGTCGTCTCCTCTGCCCACTACAGTCCAATTTATTTCAGAAAGGTGTTTGAGTGGAAAAGATACAATGAATGGAAGTGGTACAAGATTTTCCCCAGAGAATGGAGTGTTACAGTACCGTGAACTCTCGCCAGTTCCCCCCGGGCAGGGAAACCCCTCCTRTCTCCTCCTATTCAACACTTATGACTAACGAACCACAAGATTCATACAGAGAACACAGCGAGTGCCCGGGATTCACGTTTACAAACCAGCCCTCCCAGCACCGCTGCTTCTTGAGTATTTCACAAATATTTAACTTCCCATTCGTCACCAGGAAAGCCTTGCCCAGAGCCAAAAAAAAGAAGCAAGAAGGCAGCTCCCGCTCGGGGCGGCAGGGCGATTTCCAGCCCGTCTCCGGGCTGACGCGCCGGGAATGACTCAGGTCTCCCCTCCGGCTCCAGGAACGCAGCGTCAGCCAAGAGAGAGGCCGCGAGGGCCCCTCCGCCTGCCTCACCCACCGAGCCACGGGCCTTATTTGCCCTATTTCCCTACAGCAGGCCTCGTGTGTAGTTATTTTTTTCCCCCTCCCTTTTCTTCCCCCTTACCCCCAAAAATAGGGGGGGAACGCACAAAATCATGATTTTACACAGGTCCTTGGGGTGTTTTAAACAGCCACACTGGCACGGTGCAGGGAAAGCCCAGAGAGCCACCGAGGCAGCCGGGATGCCACCGGGGCTGCCCAGTCCCCTTATTTCTGCGGCTGCGGCCAGAGCAGCCCTTTTCCAGCTCCATACTCCCATATTAACACACACATATATAATATACATGCGTGTATATACGCTACGTTAATTACCGCTAACCACCCCAGACGCTGCTCCGCCGGGCGGCTCCCCGGGCGGGCCGCGCCGTCAAGCGGGGCCGCGCGGGGCCGCGCCCGGGGCCCCGCCGGCACCTACCGTCGGCRCTCAGCGCCATCTCGATGAGGGTCTCGCCCGCCTTCTTGCCCAGGCGGCTCATGATGGCGGCGGCTGCGGGCGGCCGTTACCTGCAGCCGTTACCGCTCCCGCTGCCGCCCCCTCCTTAAGCGGCGGGGCGAGTGCGGGGCCGCGCGGGGCGGTGGCGGCTCCGGGCATGCGCACTGCGCGCCCCCTCGCTCCGCGCAGCCCCGCCCTTCCCGCGCTGCCGTTAGCGGCCGTTAGCGGCCGTTAGCGACCGTTAGCGGCCGTTGCGCCTCTCTTCGCGCGGCGTGAGGGAGCGGCCACGGCGACGGCGGCAGCTCCGCGGCGGTGGGGGAGACCCGAGCGGCTCCTTTGGGGTTTTCCTAACCGAACCCTCCTGCTCCTGCAATAGCAGTGTCCTGGGATTTCCTGGCACAAATTTCCTGGCCTGGGATTTCTCAGGCACAAATTTAACCGAGTCCCGTGAGTCGAAGTTAGTCGAGGTGCAGGGGCTGTGTTCRGGTTTCCATGTAGGCCTCTCGTGCATTGTCTAAGTGGTACCAAAAATGTATTTTTAGTCASAGGCAAGGCTTAAGTCGTGCTTGGTTGCTTTCCAAGCCTGAAATGTTTAGCTTGGATTTTAATCTGAAAATGCAGGGTAGTGGGAACAAAGAGTACACGATCAGCGTACCRAAAGAAGCATTTAAGAGCTTGAAAGTGCATACAGTTCGCTGGGTCAGACGATTGCTTTAAAAGCTGCATTTTCTAAGTCTTTAATTTTATCATAGTTCTATATTATAGGATAAAAGCTTTTATGCCCATAGAAGATGAAGCTAGAAGCCAGTATTCAATAAGAGCCAGAAATAGCAAGGACTTTGGTGGGCTAGGCTGGGCTTTGCCTTCTAATTACATGCTTGCCCTTCCCAGCTCCACCCTACATGTGCTGCAATGAAGTTGACCATATCTAAACCTATAAGTACTATATCTAGAAGACTAAAGATGCTGTTGCAAATCTCTGTAATTGGACAGGCATGTGGTTTCTGGAGGCACTGAATTTGTGTAAATGACCCACTGAGCAATGTTACAGACCGGGCAAAATCGTGCTGTCAGGAAGAGCTCTGAAGGCCTTGTGCCCCTAGCAGACACACATAAGCTGAATAAATGCAATACCCTACTTTTAGGTTTCTTGTATATTCAGCATTTAAGCAAATGTCTCATGCTGGTGTTTCGCAATATGCTTAAGTGATCTCGGACCACGGTTGTGCAAAAGGCACAGACCTCTATTCCTCCCACCTTGTATTATCGCTGGTGATCCCAAGACTTTACAATAACTCTGATTAACCTTTTAGATGATTTTTTTTTCCTCAGTTTTCAGTTCCTGCAAGCAACAGCTGCTGCCAGAACCAAGAAGGGAACAGAGAACTCAGAGTGGAAGGAAGGGCAGGACCATTTTTTWCTTTGACTATCAATACAGCGATCTGGAAAGCCGTTGCATTTTTGCTTCTGGTGAGCTAGATTTCAAACACAATGTCTAACATGTATACATTTATTTTTTTAAAAGTTAAAGTACCTAAAAGCTGTATTTGTACATAATGGCATCACTAGGAGTTACTAGCCATGTTTATACTTAAGACAGCAACAAAAAAAAAAGGAAAATATAAACTTCATGTGTGCTAAAGGAGAAGAGATAGYTTGTAGACCTTATAAGATAAGGTTGTACTCTCTTTTAATGTACATTTTAAAAAGGAAGTAATTTAGTAGCCATCGTATTTTCAAAAGATATTTAAGCATGGAGAATTGGTGTAATKTGGGAGCCAGATTTCGAAGATCCCTTTGCACCCATGTCTTTGACAGGCAYCTCATGATCTGTTCAAACAATTGCAGCTTATGTGCCAAGATCCTTTTTTTTAAAAAGCAATTTGGGCTTCATTTGTTCCCTCCAAAGAACAATATGCTTAATGGTTCTTTCAGTCTGTATGTCCAGAGTTACAGTAAGTTTTCAAATCTGATTATGAGCACAAGCTTGAAGTGGATACAATGAAGGGAAAGCAGTGGAACAGGCTTAAAAAGCTGAAGTGGGACTCAKATGAAAAATATGTGCCAAAGTCCAACATGATATGAAAACCTCATTCAGTTATCGCATAATCTGGGAACTGCCACAGGCATTTTTAAAATGCAGACCAGAAAGGAAGAGCATTATCTGTTTCTCAGGCAATCCCATCAACTGAAGTTTAAACACTTGCCTGGAATGCAGGAGATCCAAGGCTAATGATTGTGACCAGAGGGAATTCAGCCTCTCCCAGTGTAATGTTGCAACCAGTGACCTTTATGTAGCGCTGGGTGAATGAGCAAGGGACTAAGCAGGAGAAGGGCATGACACGGGAAGTCCTGTGCATACTGTGCACCCATTTGTTAAAGTTGCTACTATAAAAAGAAGGTAATAGCCACTGATGGGACAGCAAGCCTGAGGGAGTTTATAACTCCCTGAAGATTCAATCTGGGCTCCCTAAACTGAATGGCCTCCCTACATTTCACAAGGGGAGAGAATATCTGCCTCTCCTCTTGTGCTGTACAAAGCTATAATGACTACACATATGTACGGCCCAGGGATCAGGCACCTTACATATACAACAGAGCTTGTTGCTGGGATGGGCAGTAGAATTTATTAGGAGAGTTGTTTCTATTTCAGTGCTGCTAAACAGTCCTAAAACCTGCAGGAAATGATAAAAATGAGAGAATGCCCTAAACAGTTCCGGCCTAAAAGGATGGCAGAATGCAAACTATATTGACAGGAAGTAAGAAATTTTACATAGTAGGCAAAAACTTTCAGTTATTCACTACTCTTTTTCCTACAGCATCACTGTTCAATTTGTCTGCTGTTTTCAGTAAGCGGTTCAGGCAAAAAGAATACCTATGACATTTAAACAAACAGGTGATATTACAGATTGTAATCGGCCTTTTCTTTTTTTAGCCCTGATTATGACAGATTCACAAGAGTAGAGCTAAAAGCAACATCCTGGTTTGCACTCTTCCGTAGAGCAAGGAAACTGCATGGGGGTGGTCCCARCTAAACTGAACCACATCTCTGTAGAGTACTGACTACTAGGGGAAGAAAGCACAAGACAGAGACAGCAATTTTGTTTCTTTGGTGTGAATAACAGAGGTTCAGAAATGCCTACTAGAGATCAAATTAATCTTAACGGAAGCTATTTCTCTTTTCAATTGCAATCATGTGTTTGAACTCTGCAGTCCTACAGTTATACTCCACTAACTGGATAAACTCCCCAGTTTGCAGTGGGAAGGCCATCAAAGCCTTCTTAAAAGCATTTAAAGAACCCACAAGAAAGACCACAAGAAAAAAAATGATCTTGGTATGTATCAGGAGTTTAGAGAATCTGCCTCTTCCGCTCAGCTAGAAAAAAATGTTAAATACTTTAATTGGGACAAATTCATATGCACAATCTGTTAAGTTATAATGACTGAGGCATGATTATGCTCTTTCATCATGCTTCCATGGATATAATTACATTGATTTCTCCTCCTGAATAGCATGAGTGAAGATCAGTRTTTAATTCTGAGAGATAATGCACTGATAGCAGCCTTCACATAGAAGGCTGCTTCATGTGTTAGGAATGGGGAACGGCTGTGTCATGGTTTTTGGAGCTTAAATTACAGTTGCCACCTTAAAATAAGAAGGTGCACCATTTTAGTAAATTCCTCTGCTATGCATGCAATCACCTTTTCTTTTCCCAGTTCTCCTATTATGGACAATATATTTTGTCAGGGTGTAGTGCCCTCTCGTGGTAATAGTGAAATTAGGTCATGTTGACACTTCGAGCTTTGCATTTTTAACTTGTATGTGTTGATTTTTCCCAGAATGATAAATGGATAAAATAAGGTGGTTTTATACACGGAGGATTGTGGAGTGAGCAAATGAGGTGGTGTGTGAAAGTTGGAGCATTGAAATGATTTGGAGTAGTAAATAGCTCCAACAAAAACATAAAACAACTTCAGTGTGTGTGTTAATCAGCTTAGAAAGTAGAGCAGAACTGTACTTAAATGGGATAATGTAAAGCCACAAGAGAACAAAACAGTGCAGCTCTGTATGAGATAAAGCGTGGCCTCCCACAAAACTTTGTGCCCACCCCTGTACGTGAACATTTGCAACTCCCCTGGTTATGTATTTTATTGCAAAGAGTATTAGAATGAAATAAAGAGATCATCAGCTTTTTGAAGAAAATCTAGAAAAATATAAAACCTTCAATATACTAACAAGGCAAGATGTCCAAGCACCATTTATTTAACTAGCACAGGCTGGTGACAATAGTTAAAATAATAATACAAGTGATTTTTCTAGTCCTTTGCACATGTGTTCTTTACTGTTTATCAAATTCTTCTTTCCGAAGAAAACAAACAGTTTGCCTTCAAAATAGAAAAGGCAGGTGAGAAGGAGAAAAAGCTAGAAAGTAGCATTTATAGGAGCAAGTCAGATGAGGGTGTGTAGGGCTGTCTGCCATAGGAAACACCCCCCTGTGATGGTTACAGACAGGACAGAAGGTTGCTCCAGGGGGTTTGTGCAATAGTCTTAGCCAAGTGCACACAGGTTTTCCCAGATTCTTAGAGCTGTGGGCTGGCTCATACTATCTCACAAGCCAACTGTGTGTTTGGAAGTGCTGCATGCACCCTGACCAACGTGTATTAACGTATGCTGCAAGGGAGCCTTAAAAGATGTAAATGAAATAGGGAATGACACTAGCATTGATCTAGTGCTAATGGATACTACCTTTTAARAATTCTAGTGCAACTAGAAAGTGAGCTGGTAGTTTCCTTAATTTCCTTTTGGAAACATTTTGTTTCAGCTCTCCCATGRGACTATATGAGATGTAGAGATAGTGTGGCAAAAAGTTTCCAAACTTTGTTTCCTGTGGCTTTGAAGAAGCAYAGGAGTGCAAACCCTATACATTCTCTTTTTCATGCATTCTCATTTCATACATTCTCTTTTTCTGGTTCCAAGTAGGAAAATCAGAGTGTGACACAGATAGGCCAGGAGATAATTCTCTGACTTTTGTACAGTAAATCTGGAATT